CGCTGCTTTACCTTTACAAGGGCTGAATTGGGTAAAGGCCCTTTTACTCTCGCCGGCCTAATTTCGAGGTCCTCTGAGAAATCAATTACCTATCAATGATGTTGATTCCTTTCTTTGTCTTTTCATATGCAAACACAATTTGAGGTGCAGAATCCAATAATTCTTCTCTTGTAAACCAGCGATCTTCACTGGGATCCTGGCATGCAAATCTGACCTTGTATTGACGTTGTGGTCTGCCTCTACGACCAGTATGAAAAGTACTTTCTGCAACAATCTTGTCCACATCATACTTTTCATCCATACTTGGAGGTATCGCCGATCTGCGACTTGGGAATAGCCAATTCGTTACACAAGGTAAGAGCTTTGATGCGTGGAACACCGGATAGGTATGTAAGTGCAAAGGAATCTCAATAACATATGAAGGACCATCCACATCTCCAATCACGTCTAAGACTTGCCAAGGCCCTCTGTAGGCGGGTAGGAGCTTTTGAGAAATGTTCTCCTCAGGAGCGAACTCAGACTTTACCCAAACTAAGTCGCCTATAGCAAATTGAGACGGTCGTCTGTGCTTATTCGCCTGCTCAATCATTTGATGTTGTTGTGCTTTGATTATGTTTTCCTTCACCTTCTCAATGTCTTTTTGATATTGAATGGCGAATTCACTAGTTCCTAAAGGAAGCTTATGTACTTGATCCGGGTTTAGTCAATCAATGGGTCTGCGTGGACGCCATCCCAGATGTAACTCCATAGGAGCCTTACATGTAGATAAATGTACGGAGTTATTGTAGGCACTAGCAACTTTAGGCAGATGTTCATCCCAGTCAATCTGGTCGGGACAAATGTACATGCGTAAAGTCTGTTGCAATATCTTGTTCATCTGCTCAGTTTGACCATTAGTCTCAGGATGTCTACACATTCATTGTTCACTTGTGCCATTGTTCACTTGTGAACCTTGTATCTCTGTCACTTACAATAGTCAAGGGATGTCCAAAGTCCTTTGCCCAGTGGTTAAAGAACTCCCGAATTACCAAATTAGTCTTTGCTTCCGAAGGCAAAGCTACAAAAACAGCATACTTAGTGAACCTATCCACTATTACCATCACTTGGGTTTTTCCGTTTCTGCTTTTCACCTTAGTAGTATCCATGAAGTCCATAGATATAGAGTCTCCAGGGCCTGTAGGGATAGGCAAGGGTTTGAGTAACCCAAGGGGAGATTGTGTAGTACTTTTGTTTCTTTGGCACACTTGACAACCTTGCGCATACTCGATGCAGTCTGCTTTCATGCGAGGCCAGGTGTAGGAACGTAACAAAGTCCCATAGGTCTTCTTCCACGCAAAGTGGCCTTTGGTATCATGGCATTCCCCTAAGATCAAGCTCTTGATCGCTTCATCATT